AGTACTTGTCAGTTTCATCACATGCATATTTACTCCAGCTTGAAAAGTGAGAAGGTATATATGTAGTGATCGGAATGTCCGTCCGTATGTCCGTCTAGCTATACGTCTGTTCGTTGCACTTTTCGGGTACCCATCTCTTATCCGCAACTCCTCATACCACTGAATAAAATTTATTTTACGTTTTGGGTTTCCGGCCTATAACAAAATATCAACACTTACTCCCATTCTTTTTATAATATTGAAAGGCGCCCATGTCTTATCTGCAACTCCTCCGAGTCCTATACAACTGAATAAAATTTTATGTCTTAGATACTTTCACAGATTTTTTATAATAATTACATTACAGTGGCGGATTCAAGAATCTTGAAGGGGCGACCAGTTTAGGGTTGGGGAAGGGGCCACAGCCACCAAAAACAAAACCAAAACAATTTATTAAAACGTGTATTTTTTGAACACAAAAAGGGGAGGGGTGTCTGTGCATAATATGCCATTACGCATCTCCTTTTTAGACGGAGGCTTAGCCTCCGCTCTATTGGTACCGCTCAGCTGCGGCGGAAGGGAATTTGCGATCGCCATCTAGCGGCAAATCACGTTAACTTTGATTAGCTTGGTCCCCCGGCTCATTCTTTCCAAGGCAGGAGTACATGTAGTCTCGTTCAACCAGACCCTCGGCTGTCTCCGTAAATCTCCGACCACCCAGAGGGTCTGGTAAAGATACGTTTTATCGTTTGTGACGCCAAAACGAGGCTTACCGAAATTCTGGTAAAGTTTTTGATTGGCTGAAAAGAACACACCTACAAGATTTAAACAAATACATGATGAATCATCAGAAAAATAACTTAAAGATGTGAAAGTTATATGTCTAAAAGTTAAAACCGTTAGAGAGGAATTGTTTACGGTAATGCCCTTCAGTTATAGGTAAGCGTGTTTTATTATGTTTTGCAAATATTCTGTACGAAAGCAAAAGTGAAAGTAGAGTAGCCCTACCTGCGTAATACACATTCCTTCGATTGATATTGTAATTTCTTGTTTGGTATCCCTAATTAATGACCAGTTTATTAATATAAAGTCACAATCAAGCAGAAGAAACGTCTTGAACGTTTGATTACAAAAAGGATTTTTAAAATGAAAACAAAAGAGCGCCCTCTGACGGTTACAAACGCTTACGTGATTCTTTACCAGACTCTCTGCTGGTCGGAGTTCACGGAGACAGCCGAGCGTCTGGTTGAACGAGACTAGAGTACATGAAGCAAAACAGGGACAGGGAACCAGGCTAAACTTTGATAAACTGGCCTGCCTGTCTGATATCGGATATGCGCTGTATACAGACAGGTGATCAGTAATGTTTAGAGTCCGCTGCTGACACGCTCATTGGCTGATAAAAACTGACGCTGACATAGAATTTAAATTGTCGGGGAAACCAAAACAGATCACCGAGTGCAGTTCTCTGCATCTGCTTTTGATGCAATTAATCTAATTCGGTCACAATATTTTCCACATACAATACATAATTCTTTTTTTTTCTCATGGACCTATAATTATCTCACACCTTTCGCCTCGCCTGGGGGATTTTTAATTAGTTTGCGAAGGTCCTATCACATTTATACCCTACATTACCTAGATAGAAGAAATCTGCATCATTGTTTCATTGAAACTGACATATTTTAAATGTTCACTCACTGACTCAGCAGAGAGCTGCGGCTTGTCTGTTTATAGCTCTGCTGCATCTATTTATAGAATTCCTTATCACATGTTTCAGAAGTTAGATGGGACAAACTGACCCGCATGTTTCTATGTTTACATGACAAAAAACAGTGGCTTGAATCTTACTTTGTGGTGTAAATTTAGTAATATTATGGCTAACCTGTGCAAAAAAGGATGCAATAAAACACTGTTGTCATGGAATCTGCAATAGTGACTCAAAGTATGCCCAAAAAAATATATGCAAGGAGTTGAATTTGTTAGATTTCCCAAACCTTGGAGAGATATTGAAAAAGTGTCAAGGATGGGTGAATGCTTGTAAACGGTTCATTGGCGGATCCAAGGGAGGGGGGGGGGTTCGGGATTTGGAAGCCCACTTTATTTTTTGTCAAGTGGAGAGAGAGAGAGAGAGAGAGAGAGAGAGAGAGAGAAACGTTTTCCGAGAATAAATAAAAATACATATATTTGTACGTCTAGCTTATGTATTGAATAGATAGATTCTCACACATTAATTTTCTTCCACTCACTTTCAAATGATATGATTAAAACGGTTCTATATTATCTGAACCGTTTTAATCATATCATTTGAAGGAACTTAAACACGCAACTCTTTGTTTTAAACCCAACCTGCACCCACCACGATTTTTTTTCAAACTCCAAAAGAAAATTCTTTGTACTCTTTGGAAATGCTGCAAATCCATTTAATTTTAATTAAGGCTTCAGTAGTTTTTTTTTAGTTTTTTTTTTAATTCGGACTGGGGGACCATTTCAAAGAAATAAATAGATTTTCAACGAAAATTGGTATTATCCGTAAAATCGCGTATAATACTGGATATTAGGGTATTGTTGAATCCACAATATCTAGTAAAGGCGGTGTAATCACTTTATAAAACTTGAACAATGGGATGGCATATTTTGCGGAGCCAACTTTCACCTAGATGCAAATGTTTCTAAAGGTATCACCAGTCAAGTAAGAATTTGGAAGTCAGGATTAATGCGCACAGGACAACAAATACCTGTAGAGCTTAGTACATTTCAAGATCTGCACCCAAACAGGCGTTTGTTCTGCTTAATATTTTTCATAAAGTTGGAAATATCTGCATCTTCTTTATGTTCATACCCAACACAACAGAATTGTTAATTAAAAGTTGAATGTGCATGTAGATCTATGCATTGATATATCTGAATGTTTGTATCTCAGCTCCTTTTAGTCCTGAAGAGTTAAAGATACTAAAGTACTTTTTGGCTTTCTCACATTTCAGGAAGCTCTTACCATGAGTCACTAAAGAATTGAAATTAATATAGTTTATTGCAATTAGAGTGGTTTGTCCTTTTGGTGAAAAATAGGAATTCAGTAAATTACATAATTAAACATTAGACCACAGTAACATAAATGAAGAAGATGTGTTTGTGAAACACTGTTCCCCCCCCCCCCCCCGTGTGGTAATTTAGCGAAAATTAAACTTTTCTTAAATGCAAAATTAATATATTGGTACCAAAAGAAGGGTATTCTTACTGTAAATACAATAGTGAAATATGAAAGTAGGCTAAGGTTAAAGTTACTCCATAAGTACGGAAATCTCCAAGGTAAAGGTCAAAAGGTCATGATTTTTGGTATGCAATGAATAAAAGGTCTTTCCACAAGGAATACATATGTGAAGTATGAAGCCCTAACCCTTCAAAGGTTATGACAAAGGATAATTGTTTTTAAAATAGGCCAAACTCCAAGGTCAAATGTCTTGCTATAAAATGAAAGGCCTTGTCATAAGGATTAAATTTATAAAGTATGAAAGCACTAACCCTTAACCTTTAAAAGTTATGGTCAAAATTTGCTTTATAAAAGTAGGTCAAACTCCAAGGTCAGAGGTTCAAAGTTCTTAGTATCCAATGTAGGGTCTTCTTACAAGGATTACATATGAAAGCACTATATATCCCTTACCATTCAAAAGTCATGGCCAAGGTTAAAGTTTTTTCATAAGTATGGAATCTCGAAGGTCAGGGTGAAAAGGTCAAGTTTGTTAATATCCAATGAAAAGTCTTTCCACAAAGAAAGCATATATGAAGAATTCATGTCCTGGTATCTACTTTTCAAAAGATATGGCCAACTACCCTTAGGCAAATGTTGGGGTCAGAATATGAATAAAAAATTCCCGAAAAGACAAACAATCATGTACATTCCAAGCCTCCGTCTATCAGTACTTTCAGTACTTTGATTTTACTTTTTGATCTGACATCCATTTCGGATCTCCCAGAGTAAAACATTGACTTTGCCATTTGAATCGTATGGGAGTCAGGGGTATCATTTGTTGAGTAACCGATCAGTACTAACAGTACTTCTATTTCCATTAGCATCACGAGAAGGCAAGCAGCTGGACCATAATACATGCACCTGCCAAATGAACTGTAAAAGTTTCTCTTGCAGAAGTTTATATCACATTTTGAAATAGGTGTTAATGCGGCATTTAATGTAATTTTGCTTTCCATGCAAAAATGTCCTCCAAATTTTACACGGTACATGTTTTTCACTTTGACCATTAGCCGCAGAACTTGAGCGTTATGGTTTTATACTAGTATTGACCATAACGCTATATATATATATATATAAGCTACAGATCCCCTAAAGCAAAAAAAGTGCAATTTACGGCGCAATATTTTTTGCGCACTTTTGGTGAGAATTTCTCCACTTTTCAGCATCTGTCAATTAACTACCTTTCACTCTCTAATTCTAGGCACATTATTTAACTATAATCTGTATATTTTATCCATCTCCCAACCCTTTATAATCTTCTCTACAAGTGATAAACTAGCTTGATTAAAATTATTTGTTAGATTGCTGAAAATTCACTTCAAGCGAGTTTATTGCCTATAGAGACAACTATAAATGGTTGGGAGGTGGATAAAATACATAGTGCTACAAAGTGTGTGTAGAATTAGGGAGTGAAAAGTACTAGATTGACAAATGCTAGAAAGTGGAGAAATTCTCCCCTAAAGTACGCAAAAAGTATTGCGCCGTAAATTGCACCTTTTGCATTAGGGGATCTGTAGCGTTCGTTATGGTGAAGATTAATATATAAAACCATAACGCTACATGCAGTTCTGCAGCTATTTGACCATAGGCGCTTGGTTTCAGGACTTTTTATATACAGTCATTTTTAAAATGCGAATTTTTATTTTTATATTAATGAGGGTATTCAGACACACCTAGAAAAATACACAATACACAAAATACACCATCCTGAAACCTCGGGTACCTGTGCCTGAAACCAAGCGCCTATGTGTTTGACAGGGAAACGTGACTTTTATCCGGATGTGATCGTTCTTGTTTGGGTACTAATATGCTTTTGTTTATTTCCGATTAAAATCGAAACACGACACCGACTGACAGTTCTAAGTGGCACTGCACTAGTATTTCGACACATTCTGTTTAAATGGTCTGATTAATAATAAACGGTAAGACAAGGCATTGTTTATCGATTATTTACTCATTAAAATTGTATTTGGAAGGTGTTTAATTGAGCAGCTTCAGAATTCAGATTTGCCTAGTGTGACCTTGTGCTAAAAAGGATTTTGCTTATGTCATGTTCTAAAATTGCAACTAAATACAAAATTAATTTATTATTATTCCCACCCCGCAAATTCAATTTTTAAGAACACAACACCAAAAAAAAACAAAAAAACAAAAAAAAAAACAATATTAAATTCCTAAAATTTAAGTAACAAATTGTTAAATGTACACATGGTGCATGTAAGTCTTTTTTTTTTTTTAATTTATATAAAATATTTTAAAATGATTTTATTCTTATGAAAACGTATCCTAAAATGTTATTTATCTTTACACTTGACACTTGTTTTCAGCCTGTGAGTACGTGGCCAAGAAGATTGGCCGCGCTCTGGGCGTCTCCAAAGATGAGGCATCGCCTCAGAAAACGGCCAGTTGTTCCGGTAAAGCGGGACAGGAGAAGTACCGACCCCTAAATAACGGTAGGTGATCAGAGAGGAGGGGTAAAGGGTTAGTTACATTTACGTGGCGCATTGCACACACATATTTATGAATAACATGTAACTGTGATGACTGTAAAATTTATACCATTTGTGACATGATCTGAAAAATAAACAAATTTGAAATGTATGTAATTTTTTTGTAACCATCTAAAAATATATTAATATATTATGTGTTTTGTGTTTTAACCTAGATTACCTGCATATATATGATTTTAAAAAATATGAATAGGATGTGTTTACAGAAACTTACAGAGTTATATTTTTCAAAGAAGTACATTTCAGTTCAAAAACATTCTTGTTTTGATTTATATTTTTTATAACACACTGTTTTCAATTTCTTTTATTTTATGTCTTAATAAAATTGGTAAATTACATTATAGCTTAGTATGGAGATAAATTTATGGAATGCATGGTTTGAATTCAGGGCAGATAAGTTTTTGATTTATAAAATTCAAAAGCTTAGGGTAACTAAGTACATATTCCACTTTAAATAATATGTTTTTTAATCTACAGAGAGTTCTCAAGGGAATGGTTACTCAGAAGGAGTCACCAACGGAGAGAGGCAGGCGTGTACAAAGTCGACAGGATGAGGCTAAAGAAAGGCAACTCCTGTTGCCCTAAATGTCACCGATTCTACTGCAGATTTATCTCTCTTGTTTTCATCTAGTGTGTGTAAAACAGGAATAATGATAAGTCAGTTTTAAACATGATTAACTTTATGGAATCTGACTGTGATATGATGGTATATCTGCTGTAGAAAATAGTGATTTTGATAAACTCAAAAGTACATAATGTTATGTTTTTTATGATTGAACAAAAAACAAAACACATAACCAAAAACATGTGCATGTACCTCCTTTTCTGAAATTATTTTAAATTTGAATGATTTTTAACTTACTCAGGAAAAATGCTTAATTTTTGTTGTTGTTTTTATTTTGAATGACTGTTATATTTGTAAGATTCCTAGATTTAGGTTTTATAACCCCCCCCCCCTCCCGATTCATTATTTTACTTTTTAGATGATATCTTAAAATACATATAGGTAGTTAAGTGTTTAAAAATATCTCTTATGATGCAAGGCTATTGTGAAAAAAAACTAATTTTATCAGTCTTACCTACTTCACTTGCAATATTCTTTTAAAAAAATCACAATTTTTAATGTGTCTGGCATAAAATTTGGAAATTATTTTCAATACAACCATAGATTTATAGCAGAAAATTATCCTGGTTTGATATTTTTCTGATTAAGCATAATTGACATATTGTATATATGTGATTAATATACACTCTGACATTTACAATGTACGTTCATGATTTATATCTTTAACATCTTAATTTTTTTCACTGTCATATTATTTTGATATGTATGTCAAATCTATTTTATTGTTTTATTCCAGAATTGTCAAAACAAGTGCTAATGATAAGACTGATAAAAACATATCTTAGATATGAAGTCTGTCTTTGATGATCATCACTACATAGTTGAATGAAACAATAAAATATTTGGAATTGTTTTTCCTTGGTTTTTGAACACGTATGTTTGTTTAAACTGTTCCTTCAACAAGTATTTTAAACTGACTCAATGAGTAAAAATCGATTTTTTCTTTTATAAAGTAAAAGATATATAACATTTGTAAATACAGTTGAATTACGTGTCAGATATTAACGTAAAAGTGATAGATGGTGGGTAACTCAGTACCTGGGAACAATGATACAAACCAAATGGAGTACATTTAACTCGTGCATCTTCAGATATCAGACTCGGGGGACAAACCCCCTCGTCTGATATCTGAAGATACACTCGTTAAAAGGTACTCTATTTAAAACATATGATTAAAGTGAAATTTAGATAAAGTTGGCTACATTGCATATTGTATAGCATCCAAAAAGTTAGCTGCAGATCTGTAGCGTTATGGTTTTATGTATTTGTCTTTGACCATAACGCTACGGATCCCGTAATGCAAAAAAGGTGCAATTTACGGCGCAATATTTTTTGCGCACTTTTGGGGAGAATTTCTCCACTTTCCAGCATCGGTCAATTAACTACCTTTCACTCCCTAATTCTAGGCACATTATTTAATTAATCTGTATATTTTATCCATCTACCAACCCTTTATAGTCGTCTCTACAAGTGATAAACTCGCTTGATTAAAATTATTTGTTAGATTGCTTAAAATTCACCTCAAGCGAGTTTATTGCCTGTATAGTTGGGAGGTGGATAAAATATACATTTAGAATATCTTGAAAAATTATCAGTAGTTAAAGTGCATTGCATATGTCCTTAATTCTAGATGAACGAGTAAGCTGCACACATAAACGTAAATCTATCTCTACTTAGAGATGTCGTTAGTTGCATGTACTCTTAACTACTATAATTAATAGCAAAATTCGTGGACGGCTTTCATGAAAGTTTTAAGCTTATATACCTGAAGGCTAAAGCGAGCTTTTCTGATCACATTTTATCCTTTTATCCATCGTCTATCTCTCCGTCCGTCTGCCGTCTAGAACCACTGGACCAATTTTTACCAAACTTACCACAATAAATCATCAAATGTGAAGGGGATTCAAGCTAGATTGAATGAAGGACTATACATGTACCTTCTTAAAGCCTTCTAGCCTAAGGGAAGATAAATAAGAATGAATATTTGGAATATCTTTTTAAATTTTTCTTCTCGAGAACCAGTGGGCCAAAAAATGAACATTTATACAACCTTCTTATCATAGTGTGATTCAAGTTAATGATTTGTCAGCTAATCAAAATTCATTCTACACTAACAGAGGATGAATGATAACAGACAAGTTTCATATTTTTAGCACGGTGGATCTTGAGAAGACTTTTTAAAGATGCCACTATTTTTTAATTCAAGAATCGAAGTAGTTGGTATGGGGACTTCAACGTATTTTTTTCATTTTGTTGATAATGCATATAGAATTTAAAGACTGTAAGTTTCAGGAGCCACAGCCCCTTCTTGATGCACACATGCATGCATGCCTTTCAGAATCCCAAGACTTAACCATTCTATTGCCTACATTTTTCACTCCCTCATTCTAGAAACATTCTTTAACCAGTCTGTATATTTTATCCTCCTCCCAACCCTTTATAATCGTCTGTGAAGCAATAAATTAGCTTGAAATGATTTTTCCGCTGGATTACAGAAAATTCAAATCAAGCCATTTTATCACTTTTATATATAGACAACTATATAAAGGGTTGAGAAGTGGATAAAATATACAGAATCGTTTTAAAAAGTGTCTAGAACGAGGGTGTGAAAGGTAGTTGATTGACTAAATCTATAAAGTGGAGAAATTCTCCCCAAAAGTGCGCAAAAACATAAAACCATAGCGCTACAGTTCAGCAGCTAACCCTGTGTACCAAACAATTACAAAAGTTAGCAGGCCAGTTTCAAGTTTAAATGCGCACATCGTGGTACTATTAGTGAAATTTTACAATAAGCCATTATATATTTTATAATTTACTGAAACGCGAAAGAAACGCAACATAATATTTAAGGGGTTAATATTAGATATAGAATATAATGTTGTATCTAAAAAGTAAGGATACCTTCAACTCTGCAAATATCGGTTATTTAACGGTTAAATGATTTTATATTATTACCTGAAGTTAAGTTTGAGTCCGCTTATAAAATAAAAGTTTGAATGTTTAACAAACCATTTGGCAATAATATAGGGGTTTAGGGGTTTGTAATATTTTCAATATTTCGAAAAAAATAAATTCTCCTTTCTTTTTCCGGAAGCGATGCCAAAGCATTTCCATTGCTCTAGCTAGAAAATCTCAAAATAAAGGTGATGGAGAATTCCAGATGCAAATATGCACTACATCACGCCTCAACAGGCTCATGTGTATCAGCATTAAAAATGACAGTCCGTGGACCGGAAGTCCATGAGTTACTACACTGCGCTAGGGCAGAGAAAATTTGACTTCAATATCTGGAAAACAGGCATTTAAAAATGCCCCCCCCCCCCAAAAAACAAAAGTTAAAGATATCCAATAAACATTTTCATCAAATCTCTGATGTTTGAAAATCGAGTTTTACCTAACTGTATTCATTTGTTTTTTGAAAATCATTAGATAAAAAAATCAAACATTTATATATATATTTTATTGCTTGTTGCGTTTCTTTTGCGTTTCAGTATATTATTAAGGTATGCATTCTTACATATACATGTACTTTGTAATTCAAACGGTGAATTTACATAGATATATTACACGTAACTAAATACAAATGTAATGGTTTTTTTTTTTTATTAATTTGATTTTCTTGTCTAATTTCCTTTCTTCTATTGTCGTTTCCTAATAAAAGAAAAAAAAAAAAAAAAAAAAACTGTTTTCAAATTTGTTAGCAAGAATAAAGTTCACAGTCTTTTCATTCCTTCTTCACTAGCACTGTTGTTGAGTGTTGTCAGGGTCCGCACCATTCATTCTGAAAGGAAGCAAACAGAAATGTCTAAGTTACTTCAAAAAGAAAAAATACGGAAACGTGCACTCCATAAATTTGTCGAAATCTGACATGACGGTGATTTCGTCTTCATTTGATGTTGTGCTAATTGTTAATGAGCGTTAATTTGCGATTGATAGCCATCTCTAAACTTTAGCAGAGAAGGCTGGCACCCTAGTGCGACACCGCATCATCGCTCGTTAGTCGCTTAGGTGCCATGTTTTTCTGATGATATCGCGGTATTGTGCGAGATCTCGCGCGTCATCTGAAACGATTAAAAGGTACACCGATCCCCACGAGATGCCCAATGGAGACATTGCTGAGTTAAATTAGCGATGATTTGAAATATCTTTATATCGATTTAAACTTTCTAATGAAACACAGAGATGTATGGATAAAATTCTAATTTGTATTAATCCAAAAACAGAAAGTTTTTTTTTCATTACATGTACAAGTAACCAGAAAGAAAAAATATCAATAAACATATATCATTATTTTTTAAAAACTTTTGCCCAATCCAATTTGTAAAGTTAAAAGACAATGAAATATTTTAAAATCAAATCAGATACATATATACAACAATATCTTTATTTTTGTTTGGTTTCACTTTATCTTATCCCCCCCCCTCCCCCCCCCCCCAAAAAAAAAAAATTGCAAAAGAAGCCAAAATTTGGAAAGAAAGAAAAAACTGGCGTTAATTTCTTCTATAGAGTAATACATTTTAAAAAGCATCATATGATGATGATGCGTTTAAGAACTATACTAGATTTATAATTACATATTCACACCTACATGTATTAATCAGGCACGGAAAAGCGTTTACGTGTACTGAACAAAATGAAATCACATATGACTCCGAGGGAAAATTCTACTTATAAAAAGTGATATATCTAAAACCTCTGATATATATTTTTATTATATATATATATATATATATATATATATATATATATATATATATATATATATATATATATATATATATATATATATATAAAACCTGTACATATTTACTTGTATTTGCCTTATTTAGGTTAGTTGCTACTAATCATAACAATTTTATAATAAAAGTCATAATGGTCATTGTATTTTTTATGGAAGAAGATATTTGAAACACGCTATGCAATAAACCTGAATTTAATTCTTCATTGAATTGCTGTACTAACACTAGGTAGCCAATCAAGGGTTTACAACCCGCTTACTAGTACGATAACTAGATTACTAGTAACTTCAATATAAATCGCAATTAATTTAGCTGCAAATACTTAATTTTCACTCGTAGATTTTTCCAACTTACATGAATCGGGTATTATAGATAATAATCGCTTTCACGCTATGATGGTCACAATCTAAATATTAAATTCTTATGGAAATTCTGTACACCATCAACATTTCGTAGCAAAACAAACATTTGATTTTAACGTAATTTTTTTTCAGATTGTGATGGCCAAAGGCTAAAATAGCAAACCATATAACGTACGCCACGACATTTGAATTTTCAGAGTACATCTTGCCTTATAATCCACCCCTTCTAAATTCTAATTTCAACTTTCAATTGCACAAATACATGTGTATGTACATGTGTACTAGTATCATTCAAACATAAATACAGATAATTGTGCATACTATCAATGTCAAGGTTCGGAACTTTCCAAAGCATAAAACCTTGACATTGTGAGGATGGTTGTTTTTTTCCCTGTAGACAATAAATTACGTTATAAAAGTTTGTAGATGATGACAATCCTGCATGTGATACATGGAAATATTATTTTCTCGAAAATATTGTTGTATTTAAACAAAAAATGTATACTGTATCAATTTTATGTGTCAGTAACATTTAATTTGTTCCAATAAGTATAAATTAAAATCATACTTATATCTTAGTTGTGACGTGTGACGTTAAATTGATTTAATTTTAAGAAATTTTAAAACACAAAGTACAAAAACTTTTTCATTATCAAAATAAAATTCAAAATATTTTCGAAAAAAAGGAAAGGTTATTTAAAAGTCTTTATGATCTTCTGCAACTACAGAACCTTTTTTTTTTTACTAGCAAT